AAAAAAAAATAGTCTTCCAACCCTCAGATTCTGAGCTCACAGTGAACACCTATCATGTGTAAGATCCTGAGATAAGCACTGTGGACAACAAAGATGTACAGTATACAAAAAAAAAAAAAAAACTACCCACTGCTCACTGCTGCCAAGTCGGATCTGACTCATAACGATCCTCCTTGGGTTTTCGAGGCCTTATCTCTACAGAATTAGATTACCCATGCTTTCTTCTGAGGAGTGGCTGGTGGATTTGAACCGCCAGACTTCTGGTTAGCAGTCAAACGCCTTAAAGCACTACACCATCATTTCTTACTAATCCAGAATTATGCTCCAGTGGAAAAAAGAAGAAAATTGACCTCATCATTGAGCCTCTATTGTCATGTTGGACTCTGCATATGAACATTAAAAACTAACCTTAAATACTGACATTATATAACATACATCAAAATAGTACAGCTTGAAGTCTTGATACTTGCTACAACATGGATGAACCTGGAAAACTGAATTTAATAGCAGACTTCCAGTAAGATGGAGGAATAGGCAGACAAACCACACAGACCCTCTTCCACAAAGAAAAGAAAAAACAATTGACAGAGATACAGAAGATTATCCTGGAGCCCTGAGCTCTGAAAGGAACTATACAGAAGTGGATTAGGCACCAACTAGTGGAAAAACCTGAATGAAAACAGTCAGTACAGAGACGGTCAGAGATGCAGACTGTCAGTTACTCCAGTGGGATCACCAGCCTGAATAGTTCCAAGTGGTGTTGGGACCTGAGAATTGACCTAAACAAGATCAGCCCTGGTCACCAAGGGCTGCAGGGATGACTACGCTGGTGGGTTATGACTAGGAAAGGAAATAGCAAGGTGGGAGACAATCTGAGCTGTTGACTTTCCACTGTCCGGAGGGCACAGCCACTTTGATTGTTTACAGGCGGCAATCATTTTTGATATTTAAAATGACCAAGGGTGCAGCTATTTTGAATGTTTACAAGTGGTGGCCATTTTGGATGTTTAAAGTGACCAAGGGCACAGCCATTTTGAATTTTTACAAGTGGCAACCATTTTGGATTTTAAAGTGATAGCATCCTCATTCGGATTCCAGGGACCTAAGAATAGGTTCTGTTTGCCAAGGTCAGCAGGGACATATGAGCGGCTGATAACAAGAAAGGAGATATGTGGTGAGTGTATAAGTGCTGCCCACTAGCAAATAGAGGAGCACAGCACAGTACCATGCTTGTATAGATAACATACAAACAAAACAAAGAAAATGAAAATCATGGACAAGTCACTCCAACATACAATCACCAATTAAATATAAACACAAAAATCTCACAATGCCTCAGAGACAACAGAGCATCACAGTCCACACAAAGAAGCAAAATAAAGAAGGAGAAACAAGGGACCAGGATGTGGACCAAAAACATATCCCTGAGGAAAAGGCAGCATTGGAACTCTCTGATAAGGAATTCAAAAGAATTTTATTTAGGTATCTTCAACAAATCGAGAGAAAGATCAAGGCAAACACAGAGAAAACTCTAGAACAATTTCGAATGACAATACAAGGACAAAATGACAAAATAAATGAAAAATTAGAAATGATACAAAATCTACACACAGAAATCCAGAAGATTAATACTTAATTTGCAGAAATAGATAAGACATTGAATGGGCAAAGGAGTAGAATTGAATCAATGGAAGACAGAATTAGCGAAATTGAAGGCAACTACCCGAACACTTCTTTGGAAAGGGATAAATCAGAAAAAAAGAGCAAACAAACTGAAGAAAGACTAAGGTTCATGTGAGATACCATCAAAAGGAATAACCTACATGTAACTGGAATTCCAGAACAGGAAGACACAAATAAAATCACAGAGAAAATTGTCGAATATCTGTTGGAAGAGAATTTTCCTGGTATGATGAAAGATGAGAATATATCCATTGAGGAAATCCAATGCACCCCAAACAGAATAGACCCCAAAAGAAAATCACCCAGACATATCATCATCAAACTTACTGAAACCAAAGACAAAGAAAGAATCATGAGAGCAGCATGGGAAAAACAAAAAGTTACCTACATGGGGCAACCAATAAGATTAAGTTTGATTTCTCAACAGAAACCATGCAAGCAAGAAGATAGTGGGATGGTATATATAAAACACTGAAGGAGAAAAATTTCCAACCAAGAATTATGTACCCAGCAAAATTGTCCCTCAAATATGATGGTGAAATTAGGACATTTCCAGATAAGCAGAAATTAAGGGACTTTGTTCAAACCAGACCAACCTTACAAGAGACCCTAAAGGGTGCCCTTTGGACAGAGAAGCAACAATAGCCAACAACAACTCACCATTAACACACATGATGACATAACCCAGAAATCAACCCAGCTGTGGAAATATCCAAAGTAAATAAGGCTATGAGATTGTAAACAGGGAACCAGAGATACCAATTGACAAATGAGGACAACTACAAACAAAAAAGAGGGAAAAGACTGTGTCATTACAGAACTTCTAGATGGTAGGGAAGTTGAGACAACTAAAAGATAGAACAGCCTGTTCTAAACATGGGAAGAAAACTATAAATCACAGGGTAACCTCAAAGAATGATAAATCTTCACATCAAAAAAGAGGACCCAGCATAAATATTCAGCAAATACTAAAACAATAGCAACGAAGGAAGTGATAACACGACTCATAAACAAAACAAGCTCAGCATAGAAAATTATATGGAACAAAGAAATCAACACCACAAAAAAGCACATATCAAAAATGACAGCAACAAATTCATATTTGCCAATAGTTACATATCTGGCAAGGGACTTATCTCTAAGATTTATAGTGGAAGAGTGGATGACCAAACTATGGTATATACACATAATGGAATGCTATGCAGTACTAAAGAATAATGTACAGTCTGCAAAGCACTGCATAATATGGATGAACATGGAGGACATTATGCTGAGTGAAATAAGTCAATCACAGGACAAATACAGTATTAGTTCATTGTTGTGGAGTGTCAAGGAAAGGTTTATATATGGAGGGAAACTTTCTTTGTTGGTTGCCAGGAGTGGGAGGGGAGGAGAGGGAGCACTGCAAAAAAAAAAAAAAAATGCATTGACCCATGTCACTTTAGTTTTGTGAAGTTCACTGTACATAAATTGTATTTCAATAAATATAATTGTATTATAATAAAATGCACTAAAAAAATTTTTTAAAAAACTGAATGAAATAAGCAGTCACAAAAGGACAAATATTGTGTGATCCATATTATATGAAATATCTAGAATAGGCAAGTGTATAGGGATTAAATTTTATTTAGTGGTAATGGAGGTGAGTGAGAGGGAGGGGAAGATGAAGATACAATGCTTAGGGAACATTGAATTTCTGTTAAGGGTGATGGAAAAATTCAAAATGGTTAATGGTGATGGTTGAACTACAAGATAAATACAATTAATATCACTGAACTGTACAAGTAAAGATTGTAGAAATGGCAAAAGTTCTCTTACTTATATACCTATTACAATAAAATAAAATTAGTATAGTTAATAAGTCCTATGGTTTAGAAAAGGGACAGATTCTTGTTAAATGATAGGGAGCAGTCTCTGAGGAAGGTTTCAAAAGATTAAAATTGGACCTTGAAGGATAAGCAGAGTGATTATGAACAGAGATTTCACATTCCTCTGAGAGGTCAGAAGGATAGGAAAAATTCCACTAGACCAACGTTTCTCACTGTGGAATAGGTGCTGTGGTGTTGTGTGTGTGTGTGTATGTGAACTTGGGATCAAATAAGTTGGGAAATAGTAGACTAAACAGAGTTAATCTTTTTTTTCTTTTTTTCTTTGCAAATCTTCTCAGGGACTTTAGTAAGCAAATATGTGTTTAGAATCTCTAAGAGAGGTCAAGAGTACAAACTTATGACCCAGAGTCCTTTATTCTTACAGCTTCATGAGAGATTAGCTTCATGAGAAATGCCTTTTTGGAAATGCTGTACCACAGAGATGGTAAACTCCCTGAGGTCAGGGGCTGGGTCTTACTCACCACAGTATCCTCTGCTCCTGGCACAGGGCCAGGTACAAAGGATGGATTCAATAAATGCCTGCCAAATGACTAAATGCGTAATTGTTGAATTCCAGTGGAGAGCCTGTCATCTGCAACACCATGGATGTGAGAGTGTGCCAGGCACCAAGGGATCGCCTCTCCTCAGGGCCGTCCCTTCACAATATGGGCTCCAGATGCATGAGTTTTGGACAAGGTCATCTTCACCTTCCAAGAAGCCCAGGGCCACAGATCAGTAAGGAGTCCTACCAAACTAACTTTTTTCCCAAAGAGGTTTCAAAAAATACTTTTTTTCCCCAAAATAACTTCTAACTTCATTAAGAATTTTAATATTTCTCCTCTTTACTAAGAATAAGTAGCAATCAGTTACAACACTGGGAAGTCAGACTCCATAATATAGTTATAGATCATTTTTGTTTCTTTACTGCCACCTTCTGGCTTCAAGGTAAATTAAAATGCTACCTTTTATCTGTATTTCACAAGGGAATTTTAAGCCATCTTTCTTTGATAGCCGTTACCTCATTTGATGTTATACAAGTTAGCAGCAGGTAGGGTGGGCTTTACTCTTTATCATTTGACCTGAAGGCAATACGGACATTAAGTGATTTGCCTAGTGATAGAAAGTCAGGAGCAGACAAAGACTAACCACACCTGTTAGTTTTTCCATCAAGCAAACACTGGGTTTAACCATATGGCTTTGTCTAGCAACATTTCCAAAGAGTTCTATGGCTCTCTCGTCCCTTCACAAGCACAACTTTGAATGGAAAGTTCCATGCCCTTACAAAAGAGGATGCTGTTCAAATATACCCTGATCTTTTTAAGAGTAAAATCCATTCTACTTTACAAAGTCTTTGAGAGAGAAGGCAGGAGGTCTATTATTGATTTTTTTATCTGAATTGTCAAGATGCCACCCCAAGATAGTGGTCAGTCAACTTCTTCGTAAACATACCTTGGTCTGGAAGCAGCAATAGAGTTGGGTTAGGTATGGGTGTTTCCGCGCCAGAGCCAAAATCCTCTTCTCTGTCATCGTGCAGTCCACATCATCATCCTGAAGGATGACATCCTTCTTTAAGACCTTCACAGCATACACTTCATCTTTACCCTTGAGTTCCGCCAACATGACCTGTAATTAACCAAATTACCCCCCATCAATCTATACATGTCTGGAATCAAAACAAGAAGCACAAGCCAAACACAAGCTTTAAATACCTTTTTTTTTTTTTTTTTCCTTTTCTTTACAGGGTCTCTATAAGTGGGAATCAACTCAATGGCAATGGGTTTGTTTTTTTCGTTTTATATTAACATTTTTAAAAAATTAGGAAATCTGTCATCCTAATATCCTAATACAGCCACTAGTTCATTTTGATGTCAAGCGCCATGCCCCAGCAAAGAGAAGCTCAATGTATATCTGTTAAATGGTAATTCATGTGTTCACATGTGTTTGCTATATTGGCAGTCACAGTATACAGAGAAATTGGTTTTCTTTCTTCTTAACTGATTACATAATGAGTGGTTTTTACATGGTTTCCATTATTACCAAATTTGGTGATATTTGAGTCAAGTAAATATACCACAAATTATCTAACCATTTCCATATAACAATATAACACGTTATATCTAATTATTAAGTATTATGTAAATTAATTACATTGAATATTTTTGTACATGTAAATTTTTTATTTCTTTTGGAATACATCCTTAGGATAGGAAATTTCAGAAAAGGATGATAGGGTTAATATTTTTTAACTTTTTTTTTTTTTTAACAGTTCTTCATGCACATTTCCTAGTTGCTTTACAAAAGAATGGGCACATATACCCCACATAGAAGTGTTGCATTTTCATAGCAATTTACCAACACTGAGTGTTTTTACTTAAAAACTTTTTGTTCAATTGATGAAGTGTTATCTCAATGGTGCTTTGATTTGCAATGAAACTTTTTAAATATTTTTTTTCTGTTATTTCTTCTTGTGTAAATTATTTGTCTGTCTCTACTCTTATATGGGAGCTCTGATGTGTAGTGCCTAAGGCACTTGACTGCTAACCAGAAGACTGGCAGTTCAAACCCACCAGCCACTCCTCAGAGGGAAGATTGGGCAATCTACTCCCATAGTGATACTGCCTCAGAAACCCAAGGAGGGATCGCTAAGAGTTGGATCTGACTTGATGGCAGTGAGTAATATTTTTTGGTTTATTCTTGTCTAGTATTTTATTTTATTTTATATTATACTCTTTTCTTACCAATTTGTATGAGCATGGTATATGAAGATATTAACCTTTTATTAACTGCAAAGATTTTTCTAAGCCTGTTTTATAATTCTTTTTCTATTGAATAAAAGCATTTATTTATATGCAGTTTAATCTATCCTTGTTTTTCTTTATGATTCCTTCCATAGCTTTAAATCTGGGAAAGTGATTCCTTCTTCAGAGAGCTAATTAACAGTTCTATAGTCTTAAAGTTTTCCTATCATTTGATATTTTTGGACTCATTTCTCTATAAATGTCACAAATCTTTTTAATAGCTAACTCCTAAGCAGAGCATTCCAAACTAAGCTGTCAAAGTTAAAGAGCAGCAAATCAGAAATTTAATGGGAAAGTTCATGATGTTAACCAAAAGATTTTTCCTTACCCACACATAATACAAACTCTAAAACTGGCTCAAACTTGGGCTGTAATTTTTCTTAAGAAACAACTTCAGTGCTCTCAAGTCATCGAAGTTCCCATGCTGCCAATACCATATGGAAACTTGGAAACTCTGAGTCTACTTGTTTCCTTTGAATCTTGCTCAAAATTATACCAAGTCTTGCTTAGGAAAGAAGGTTGGTGTCTGTTTCTTATTTAGCCATTCTCTAAAGAATGTGATTGTTTCAGCTTTTGCCATTTAAGTAAACTCCAGCTATCTTCCTGCCATGGAGATCTAAGAATGAGATAGGGTCAGGTGAGATGGCCGGGAACCAGGCCCCCTACCCCGGGGGCGTTCCTAGAGCCATTCCCTTTGCAGAGAGGTGGAATGAATCTGCAGTCAATAAGAGTCCAAGACAAGTGGGGGCATGTGACCCCAGGAACTGCCAGAGCCAGGTGCCTGGTCAATTCAACTCTGACTCACAGCAATTCCACATCTTTCAGAGTAGAACTGTGTTCTACAAGGTCTTCAATGGTTGATATTCCAGAAATAGGTCAGCAGGGCTTACTTCTGAGATGTCTCTGTTGTTGTTATGTGCCGTCGAGTCGGACCCGACTCATAGCGACCCCTCCTTGGGTTTCTGAGGTGGTATCACTACAGAAGTAGATTGCCCAACCTTCCTTCTGAGGAGGTGTTTCTGGGTGGACCCAAACCTCCAACCTTTTGGTTAGCATCCAAGCATCTTAATCATTTGCACCACCCCAGGACACCCTCAGAAAGACAATGCCCATCAATCAACCCCAAAGCATGGCTTTGAGGAGAAAATCAGAGGTCTCAGTTGAAATGCTAACAGCTTCCTAGTCTCTCTGCCTCTCCACATTTTCTTTCTTAAATGAAAGGGGATTATTTTCCATCTCAGGAAGCCATCAAAAAGTAGCCCTGGGGGTGCAGTGGTTAATTGCTTGGCTGCTGACTGAAAGGTCAGGGGTTTGAACCCACCAGGTGCTCTGTGGGAGAAAGATGTGGCAATCTGCTTCTGTAAAGACTGTTGTTGTTTGCCATCGAGTTGGACCCGACTCATAGCGACCCCTCCTTGGGTTTCTGAGGCAGTATCACTACGGAAGTAGATTGCCCAACCTTCCTTCCGAGGAATGGCTGATGGGTTTGAACCGCCAGCCTTCTGGTTAGCAGTCAAGTGCCTTAGGCACTATGCTACCAGAGCTCCCATGGAAACCCTATGTTGTTGTTGTTATGTGCTGTCAAGTCAGACTGGACTCATAGTGACCCCTCCTTGGGTTTCCAAGGCGGTATCTCTATGGAAGTAGATTGCTCAACCTTCCTTCCAAGAAGTGGCTGGTGGGTTTGAACCCCTTAGCAGTCAAATGCCTTAGGCACTACGCTACTAGTTTTACTTTATTCTATAAGGCTGCTTTGAGTTCAAATTGACTCAATGGCAATGTGTTGGGTTTTTTTTTTTTTTTTTCTTAAAGCCATCAAAAGAGTTGGCTGAGCACCATTCACACTTACTGGGCCCACTCTGCTCTCACACCAACACCACAGTGTTTGTTTCAGTGGGAGCTGAATATGGCAAAGGTATGCAGATAAGAGGAGACTGATACAAGACATGAAATCATTATTCTCATTTTTTTGCTATGTGCTTAAGATAAACAAAACATTAGCAAGTGCCTAAAAAGGCAGGTAAATAACACTGAACTTTCAAAGCAATAAATACTAAGATTTGCTTTGAACCCTATATTCACCGAGGTCAGAGGTTCTAGAGTTCATTCTCAGTTTTCATAATGAATCAAAAAAAGAATTTGAGATGGAAGAAATTTTTGTTCTAGTATTGACAATGGAATGTAAAGCACTTTAAACTTTCAAAGTGCTTTCTTACCCACTGTCTCACTTGAAGGAGTCCCTGAGTGGTACAAATGGTTAACACATTCCAATTACGAATCAAAAGGTTGGAGCTTTGAGTCTACCCCGAAGTGCCTCAGAAGAAAGACCTGGCAATGTACTTCTGAAAAATCAGACACTGAAAACCCTATGGAGCACAATCTGACTCTGACATACATGACGTACATGAGGTCGCCATAAGTCAGAATCAACTTGATTCCTGTCCCCATTTAACAAATGAAGAAAACTGAATCCTAAAGAGGTTAAATGACTACAATAAAGTCTCACAGCTACTGAGCAGCAGAACCAGGACTCTTATCCACTTGGCCTCAGGCCATTTCCACTCAGCAAGGAAAGAAAAGATAACAAGACGAGATTGAAATGCTCATCTTGTAACCTGAGATCAAACAAATGAGGCAATGCCAGAGGGTAGAGAAAATCAGCAGGTCTAACCAAGCTTGCCACAGACCTTGCCAAAGCTGCCTTTGCCCAACACCTTGATGAAGTTGAACTCATCCAGACCCAAGCGCTTGGACTGGCCCTGCCGGACTTCCCCGTTCTCGCCCGGGCTTGCCAGCTGGCCATCGGTGGATGCTGCTGCTCGGTGCTCCTCCCCTCGATTGTCAAATGACAAGGCTTTCCGGATGTTGTTTTCAAGTTCTTTTATTTCTAGGGCCAAGGGTGATAAGATATTGCATTAGCACATAGCTCTTCCCTCCGCACTCCATAAGCAGAATTTCCCCAGAATCTGCAGCTGTCTGAGCTTCTTTCCTGTTCTTCACAGCAACAGAACGAACGTGAGATCCCTTTATTTGTTTCTTCATTTGTTCAACACACTTTCATTGGCACCTAATGTATAGCAGGGTCTGGGTATTCAAACAGGAGGACACAGTTCCTGCCCTTGAGGAGTTCACTAGCCCACAGACTCCTTCAGATGACACTGGGGCCCTTGATCTTTTGGAAACCCCCTGGCTAGTAGCTTATGCCATTATTCTAGATGTAGAGAAAGGATCCAGGCCCTCTCAGGAAACTTACAGGGTCACAAAGCCAAGAGGGACCCTTCAGGTTTCCTTTGAAGATCAGGAAAACAACTAACCAAGAACAGTCATCACAGTTCTCATTGGTAATATAATAATTTCAACAGTGGGACTAGGAATGCTTTTCCTTCTACTGGACTTTGCATAGCCTTGTGGCAGCGCTTACTCTAAACACCTGACTCACCCAAGTTTATCTAATGAAACAGACATGAGCTTATCATTAACAAAAAAAATTGCTTCCCAGACTGGCACATTGTGAATTTATCTTGGGCAGCAGGAATTCCTCAGTAAAATCTCACAACTGTCAGTCTTGAGCCCCTCCAGACAATGTGACCTGAGTTACCTGGGGGTGATAACGCTGGCTGATCCTTTGACCTCTGCTATTTGAAGAAGCTCTATTGTTAGCTATTCATTCACTAATACATACATGCCTCTGTGTAGAAATGGGCACCTGGAGCATAATCCAAATTTAAAATATGCTTGTAAAGAATTAGGATTACCAGAAGGGGAGCATGGACACTTTGGATTTAGAACCAGGCCTGGGTGGTCATAAAGAGACCTTCACGTTCCTTTTAGGAAGACTGAGGTTCATTATAGCTCACTCAAGGAATCTAGACATCTTTACTTAGATCAGAGTTTGACTCATCTGAGATGTACTGGGATGGTAAGGAAAGATGTGCAGGACAGCACCTGAGTCAACAGATACCCCCCATCACCACCACCACAAATTCAGCAGTTAACTGTCACTGACTCTTTACTTAGTACAATTTTGTGCCTCAGCATAAACCTAAAAGTCCTGAGACTAGTTACCAAATGGAATTTGGATGGTAGAACTTGGGTTTTTGGGTATCCCCAAAACTTGAAGAAAATATCCTTCCATGTTTTCTTACAATGGTGGAAAAGAGAAACTATGTCATATACTTGCTCCGTAATAACCCCATGTCTTGCAAAAGGGTATTCGCATCTATTTGTGCCATATCACTGATGGGCAATATGGTACCTTCACTAACAGGACAGAGGCCCTGAGAGAATGGACAGCATACTGGGCAAGGGCCAGGACTAGAAACCATGGCCACTTCCCTTTTACCTTGAAACTTTTAATCATATGACCCTGCCTCCTTGAAGCTCCAAAGGTCTCAACATTACAAAAGGAAACGTGAAAATGCTCACTTTGGCCCAGAATAATCCCTGCTAATTTGGAGGACCCAGAGAACTGTCTGATTACTTATTAATGGCTTTAATCTCTTTTGGAATAAAGCAGAGCATAAAGATGCAAAAGTTAATTGGACCAGCACAATGAGAGACTCGGATATTTTATTTTATGACCTCAAGGTTGGTACCCTGAGACTGAAGCTATTTTATTTACCTGGGTAAGAAGGGCTGAAGGAATTCTGATGGCACTAAAGTTGGCACCAGTTAAAGCACTGGGCTGCAAACCAAAAGGTCAGTGGTTCAAACCACTTGCCGTTCCATGGGAGAAAGATAAGGTAATCTGCTTCTGCAAAGATTTACAGTCTTGGAAACCCTATGGCATATTATACAGTGTCCTATAGGGTTGCTGTGAGCTGGAATTGACTTTATGGCTCTGGGTTTGGTTTAAGAAGGGCTGATCTTTAAGTAATGTTTGATGGCATGGATCCTGAAAACAGGATTACAAGGCCAGGAGGGACACAGTCTTGCCCCCTACCACTGACTTAGTTCCAGACCTGGGATAAGTCTTTTCAACTCTCCAGCCTTTCACATCCCATCTTGTAATACAGGGATGATAATACAGCAACAACATGGAGTTGGTATCTGCATAAAATGAACACAAAAGTGCTTTTAAAAAGTAAAAAGAGGCTATAGAAACTCTAAGCTCTACTATTACGCTATTATGACTAACCCTAAGGAGCACTGGTGGTGCACTGGCTAAGAGCTGTTTGCTAACCAAAGGTGAGCAGTCTGAACCCATCAGCAGCTCTGCGGGAGAAAGATGAGGCATTCTGGTTCCATAAAGATTTATAGCCTTGGAAACTCTATAGGGTAGTTCTACTCTGTTCCATAGGGTTGCTATGAGTTGGAATTGACTCCATGGGAGTGGGTTTGTTTTAGAGGTTTATGCTTATGCCTACATTACTCCTGTGCATACTTCCCTTCCCAAGGGCAGTTCAGTGCAGGTCATTAGAGTGCAAGGTTTTAAATGCATAAGCCCCTCCTCTGCCTTAGTGTTCTTGGATGCCTACAGAACTCAGAGACTTATTATTACTTTAAGCATATTCTTAAGAGGAAGAAAGAGACATCAACAGTTGAGCTTTAGAGGGAATCAGCCTAGAGCTGGCTTCTTCTCCACTTATTTTTTCAGCCTCATCTTCAGCTCTAACTCCCTTTCCTTACCCACCAAAGGCCAGGATGGAGACCTTCCCCAACCTATCCCATAACTCTGACCTAATCTCAAGATTGGAGTGTGATGATAAGCAGAGGGAGGAGGGAGAGGGTGCAAACTCAACCTAAGTGAGTAGGGCTGACACATCTAGTATCAGACATTGGGGCAGAAGAGGGGAGAGAGAGGGGCTGGACCGCTCCCTCTCCTCTACACTTGGAACCAGGGAAAGAGACCTTGGAAATAGAGGACCACAATATGTTATGCTCTTTTCTTCTTACCCTGTCATGGAATGAATTTAAGGCAGGAATGGCTACCTTGAGTGCCTAGTACTCAAGAGATCCTTAGAGGGTGGAAAAAACAGCTATTAAATGGACAAGGAGAAGATGTCTGCCAAACTTCCAGGGCTGCTGGCTTTTGAGCTAACAAGCTCATTCTTTGGTAGCAAGGCCTCGAGCTCCTTACTCTTACTAATGACAGAGCTCAGAGGTAAAGAAGGAAAGTTGAGGGTCTCACCCTGATCACAGGGTGAGGTGGGTGCTGACTTGGATCGATCTTCCTCAGACGGTGAGCTTCCAGAAGCAGGCTGCAGGGACTCGGCACCAGCAATGAGCTAAACAGAGAAAAAGAAGGGAGAAGCCCATCAGCAGAGAGGTCAAAAGCATTAAGATGTACCGTACGGAGAGCTTTCAGAGCGCCTGGTGTCCAGGGACACCAGAGACTCATGGTCTTATTTGACAATTAAAGAGAAGAAAAGAAGAGAATTCAGTTTGTCTGAGTTTTATTCTAGCTATATACCACTGGACTTTCTAAACAAAGCTCAACCCCGCCTTCTCCATAAAGCTTCCCTCTATGATCTAAGTTGCCTCACCCAAGGTACTAAGACACTTGTCTCTAACACCTGTATATAATTAGTACTGTCTGTATGTATATATTGTACAGAGCTCTCTACTCAGGCAGTCTATGGATTTTTTGAAGGCAAGACTTTATCGAGTATCTACTAATTTGTACAACATAATAGGTACTCAATAAATATAAATATTTCCAGATGTATTGCTATTTGTTGACAAATTTCCATAGGATGCTTCCCCTGACAACGAAGTCTATTTTTTGGCATCATGTTTATCCAAGGGACTGGTAGCCCATGCAATCCTCAGCCTATTTGACCATGAGACCAGAAGAACCAGATGATGCCTAGCTACCACTGACAACCACTTAGAGGGTTAGCAGGAGAGCCGTCCTTTTTTTTTTTTTCATTTTATATTTTGTTTCTTATCACTATAAATTGTTTGGTGATCACTTTTTTTTTTTTTTTTGGTATGGATTATACTAAGTTGACAGGATTTTTTTTCTTCTTCTTTCAGCACTTTGAAATTTGCTTAGTCTCTGAAAAGAAAGTATGAACAATTTTTCTTTCTTTGTACAGACTGTGGGCATGTGTGTATGTGTGTGTGTTCATATGTTTTCCTGGCTTCTTAATCAATTGTTTTCAGCAACTTCAACTTGGTAACAGTGTGTCTTAGTGCATTTTTCTTTACTTTTGTACTGACTGTAATTTGCATTGCTTCCTGTATCTCTATATTTATGGTCTTCATCAAATTTAGAGTATTTTCAGAGATGATAGTGTGGAATTAAAAATGTAAATACGAAATTAGAAATGTAATACTTAATATAGTTTTGCAATAAAAGGCCACTATTAAGGCCAGCAAAA